CCGCTAATCATAAAAAAAAGAGTTGAACGGGTCTGACCTACAAGGGATTTGCCCATAAAGTAAAACAAATGAACATCATGGGTTTGCCATTCTAAAACAAGCTATTTTCTCTATCATAATATATACTATGCTATTATTTTATATCTTAGTGGCTAAAATATAATGTATTTTAAAGTTATTCAATGGTTCAACTTCGACCAACTCAATTAGTCCAATTTTTATCATTTAAAATATATATCATGTAATTATTTGATATCATAATGATTAAATTATAGTGTATATTATAGGGAATCGTTTGGTATTTGTTAGTAAAAAACTAAACTGAAAGATCTATTTGGTTATTTTTAACATTAAAACGATCCTAAACATTTTCAGTTTCCTTTCGAAATTCTATAGTTTTATTCCCGAATCAGTGATGTGCAAATGGTGAATTGCAGTCATCTCTTTTCTTTTATTATTTTTTATTTTCAAATATAAAGTTTAAAAGTAAAGAATAATTAGAGTTTGGCATGGGTCGGTCAAACAAGCTGAATTTCAAGTTTTGACCCAATTTGATCAAGTCTAATTTATAATCACATGGTTATCTGATACCCTATAAAAATCTCAATCCAAACCAGTTTGGCAGGTGAGTCCGTGTTTACCACCATTTTCTAGGGATACGGGAACGGTGGTTCCTATCCCAAATCGTGCTGTTCATTCTTGATTTCTTTAGATTTTATCATGGCTTGGCAAAAAACCAGAAAGCACAATGATGAGAAGATGAAAGTTTTATAAAGCAAATTAATCGGCCAACGGGCCGAGTAAAAGCTAGCAACGATTGTGAGATGCTCATTTCCCGAAAATCGGCGGGATATGCGATTTTTTATTCGATTTTATGGAATTCGGTTTCTATAAAACTTACTCCACCTCATCATATTATCAGAAACAATATAGTTTCACAAGGTAACGTGTACTTGATTTTGGTTCATAAGACTGATTTTTGATTCGTTGAATCATTCATGTCTCTTTTCTACTAAAATTCACTATTTTTATCACGTGTTTCCCCAAAAAAAAAACTATACAACAATAAACTATACACCCCATTATATTATCAAATTTCATACCTCATCTTCGTCCGGCCAAATGGCCGGGGCCCACGCTAGTATTTTGTAGATACGCTGAAGAGGAAAACAGCTTCCCCATTTCAAATTTCCTGCAACGAGAGTGAAAGTAGGAAGGACATTTTGGTCTTAACAATTACTTTTTTTTATTCATTAAAAAAACACGTATTGGGATTCGAACCATGACCATTTTAAAGGAAAGCAAGGATCATAACCAATCACACTAAGTAGATATGTTGTATCTTTTTAAATTAAAAACATATAATAGGAGGGAGGAAAAAACTCTTCCCCCATTTCAAATTCCCTGCTCCAGGAGCGTTTGTAGGAAGTGTAGAATAGGGAGTGCAATTTTTTTCTCTTTCCTCTGTGGAACGGGCCAACTTACCGTACACATGCGGATTTAAACGGGTCCAAGAGTGTCAATTTTTTTCTTTAATCCCTTTTATTTCTCCGTGGTGATAAAATATATATGAAAAGGCAAAAATAATACTCCTTTTTATTGCTAAAAAAAAAAAAATTAACAATAAACTAATGAATGGTATCTAATGGGCTAACCGCTAACCATAAAATAAAAGAGTTGAATGGGTCTGACCTACACGGGATTTGGCCATCAAGTAAAACAAATGAACATCATTGGTTTGCCATTCTAAAACAAGCTATTTTCTCTGGCATAATATATATTATGCTATTATTTTATATCTTAGTGGCTAAAATATAATGTATTTTAAAGTTATTCAATGGTTCAACCTCGACCAACCCAATTAGTCCAATTTTTATCATTTCAAATATATATTATATAATTATTTGATATCATAATGGTCAAATTATAGTGTATTTTATAGGGAATCATTTGATATTTGTTAGTAAAAAACTAAACAGGAAAATCTATTTGGTTATTTTAAACATTGAAATGATCCTAAACATTTTCAGTTCCTTTTGAATTACTATGTTTTTATTCCCGAATAAGTGATGCGCAAATGGCGAATTGCAGTCATCTCTTTTCTTTCACTATTTTTTATTTTCAAATAGAAAGTTTAAAATTAAAGAATAATTAGAATTTGGCATGGGTCGGTCAAACAAGCCGAATTTCAAGTTTTGGCCCGTTTTGATCAAGTCTAATTTATAATCACATGGTTCCCTGATACCCGATAAAAATCTCAATCCAAACCAGTTTGGCAGGTGAGTCCGTGTTTACCACAATTTTCTAGGGATACGACAACGGCGGTTCCGATCCCAAATCGTGTTGTTCGTTCTTGATTCCCTTAGATTTTATCATGGCCTGGCAAAAACCAGAAAGCACAATGACGACAAGATGAAAGTTTTATAAAGCAGGTTAATCGGCCAACGGGCTGAGTAAAAGCTAGCAAAGATTGTGAGATACTCATTTCCCGAAAACCGACCGGATATGTGATTTTTTATTCGATTTTATGGAATTCGGTTTCTATAAAACTTACTCCACCTCGTCATATTACCAGAAACAATATTGTTTCACAAGGTAACAGGTACTTGATTTTGGTTCATAAGGCCGATTTTTGATTCGTTGCATCATTCATGTCTCTTTCCTCCTAAAATTCACTATTTTTATCACGTGTTTCCAAAAAAAAAAACTATACAACAATAAGCTATCCACTCCATTACATGATCAAATTTCATACCTCACCTTCCTCCAGCCAACTGGCAGGAACCCACACTAGTAATAATAAATATAGAAACCCGATATAAATTGGTTTCTAACACCCTTCAACGATTTAATTAATCCTCAGTTGGCTGATTTCGGTTGTCTTTTGTGAAAACTTCATAGCCAACCAGCTGTGATACTTTAAAAATTTCAGCATACCGCAGCATATCAGACATCTTTCCCGAGGATTACCATGAGATCAAGCGCTCATGATTTCAGGTTTTCCCTCTCACGGAACTTACTAAAAAGCTTGTTGTTTTATGAATTTACTCGACCAAATATAGTCTGATTCTATGCAACCCTTATTTCTCATAGAACCTTTTTTTTTTTTTTGCGTGGTATCATTGAACCATTGGGACAGAATCTACGCTTTTATATGTTTCTACCATGTTAAGAATATGGATAAGATCATGACTTTGTGCACGTTTATAGTTCTCTACCTTGTGTTTGATGGGAAGAGTGAACGCTAAAATATTTTCAACCATCCAGTTCTGGTCTCAGTCACTAGCTTACCTGTTCTCAAGTCGATGAATCCATCTTCACCGAAAACAAGGGAATCAAAGCTACATTGCATCATTGTTATAGTTGCAAGCACTATTTCCGCTCTTCTGATTCTCTATCCAGGGTTTGTCTTTGGTTGTCGATGCAGCAGCAACAAGAAGTTCCTCCTGGTGCACAAGAACTCGAATCTAGAAACTGATGAGCTGATGATGCAACCAGTGGCGGATACATGATGCTTTAGGGGTGTCCCGGGACACCCCTAAATTTTGGGAACACGATTATTCAACCCCCGGTAGTAGTTTCGTATGGATAAACAAAATATAATTAGTAATCTGGGACACCTCTAAAATTTTAATAAATGATTTATCTTACCCTCGATAGTAATTTGTGTGATTAAAAAAATATAAGTGGTACTCTGTGTTATTCAAATCTAGGACACTACTATTATTTAACATCTTCTCCATTAGGTTATAACTCATTTGTTCTATTTTAAACACTATGTAATGGTGAAAACGCGATTTCTTATCCCCAGGGGTACCCTTATTTGTGGTAACACTGCAAGTGTTGAAACAGTCTTTTCAACTCTGAATTACATCATGAACGAGGTTAGAAATTGAATATGCGATCTAGTAGGATATACCGTTTGTTGAGCAGTGTACACACCAAATCTATCTTATATTTTTTTCGAAATATGAAAACACATCATGACTTTTTGTCAACATTTATACTAATTGGCGTGTACACTGATGTGTTTTCATATTTCGAAAAAAATATAAGATAGATTTGGTGTGTACACTGCTCAACAAACGGTATATCCTACTAGATCGCATATTCAATTTCTAACCTCGTTCATGATGTAATTCAGAGTTGAAAAGACTGTTTCAACACTTGCAGTGTTACCACAAATAAGGGTACCCCTGGGGATAAGAAATCGCGTTTTCACCATTACATAGTGTTTAAAATAGAACAAATGAGTTATAACCTAATGGAGAAGATGTTAAATAATAGTAGTGTCCTAGATTTGAATAACACAGAGTACCACTTATATTTTTTTAATCACGCAAATTACTATCGAGGGTAAGATAAATCATTTATTAAAATTTTAGAGGTGTCCCAGATTACTAATTATATTTTGTTTATCCATACGAAACTACTACCGGGGGTTGAATAATCGTGTTCCCAAAATTTAGGGGTGTCCCGGGACACCCCTAAAGCATCATGTATCCGCCACTGATTACAAGATTGGAGGTTCAGTTTATGGAGCCACCATTGATGGCCAGGTGTTAGCTGTGAAGACGTTCAAAGGGGAAGCGACTGTAGAGCTGCAGATTCTGCAGAAAGTCAACCATGCAAATCTAGTGAAGTTGATTGGAGTTTCATGCGATCAAGAAGGAAACTTCTTGTGTTGGTCTATGAATATGCAGAGAATAGTTCGCTAGACAAGTGGCTGTTCAGAAAACCTCCGGCGTCCTCATCATCATCTTCAGGATCTTTATCGTTCCTTAATTGGAGTAGAAGGGTGCAGATAGCATCAGACGTGGTCTACTAAGCTCGAAGCAGAAGAACTTTTGCAGATAATCAGTTCAGTTACTGCTCGTTAACCGTTGATAGAAAGCTTTTCGGTGTATTAATTACCTTGCAAAAGCCTAGTGCAATGCTAGTTTGTACAGTTTGCAAGTGTTCAAAAGTTGTATGTCGAGGAAAAAGAAAAAGTTGACAAGCTCTGTTATTCATTGTTCAACTGAAAACTATGAACTATTATGGTACATGAATTCGGATCTATACACATCGAATTGTATCATTGAAAGCAAAGAGACGATCTCGCCCATGGTTGGTCTATCTTCAGGATCTTTAGCCAAACAGGCTAGAATCAACTTCATTCTCAGCAAATTTTCCATCTGCTACTTTGGATGCAGACCAGGATCTACAAACTTACAAAGCGCAGATTCTGAATGTTCTTCACCTAAGATCATAACAATTGCTTCTGAAAGCAGAACCTCCCTCTCCTCCAGAAAAAAATAAAATAAAATAAAATAAAAACTGCTTCTTTTCTAGGGATCAGCTCAAGTAAAACGACACCAAATGCATACAAGTCAATCTCAGGAATCACCAAACCATACTCTACATACGCGGGAGCCAAGTAACCTTTTGTACCCTTAGCAAGCCTAATTGAAGAAATTGCATACAATGCCACTTGCAAATGAAGTTAGCAATCTTAGCCCTTAAATCAGCATCCAGCAGAATATTGCTGCTGCTTATATCTTTGTGGACATATGGTGGGTTGAGTGAAGTTGTGGAGACTGGAGATAGTGAATTCCACTAGCAATATTCAAAGCAATCTGAAGCCTACGGTTCAACTCCGAGCTTCATTTTAACCGCTGCCATTCTTCTGAAGCCAATCCTTCAAGGAGTCATTCTCCATGTACTTGTACACAAGATAGTATTCATCCTGCTGTTGATATGCACCAGCGAGACTTGCGAGATTGAAATGGTCGATTTTTCTCAGCAGGTTCACTTCGATTGAAACATTTCTACTCTTCTTCTTGATTGCTACTTCTGTCCATTTATCATGCCCTTGTAGACTTGTTCGCTCAACCCGAGAACTGAAATCACTAGTCGCCAGATTTAGCTCCTCAAAATCCTAGATTCTCAGCCCTTGTTCAACTGTGGAGTGCGCGATCAAAGAAATCTTCAGGCAACACCAGTTTCTTCTTCTTTTGAGCTTCAACATCCTCATTCTTTCTTGACAGTGAGATGATTGCCCCTGCTAGGTTCGAATACAGGACTGTCGGGGAAACTCCGAGTACCATCCAATCAGTATTTCTGCCTCTCAATTTCCTCGATTTCTTCCCATTGAACGACTGACTCGGAACAACTTGAGAATCGATAGGTGGCGGATAGAGAATTATCGTCTGAGAGCTATTAGGCTCAAATTGCAGTGGATGAGAAATACTGCGAAAGGATAAATAGTTGGATCTTCGAATTCTCCAAACCCATTTGTATGATACAACTCTGTGCTAGCATTGAATCTCTTGCCGATGCTAGCAGCTCCATCACCCCAGTCCACTAAGTAAGTCAACTGGAACTTGGATTCTTTGACACACTTCTAACTTGGACTCCACTCTGGAAGTCTTACCCCGTGACAGTTGAAACTGAGGGGAAAGTGAATTGTCTTTCAGTTTAGACGGGATGATGACATCACAACTTTCGGTAGGGGCAAAACCCAACCAACTAATTTTATTGCATCAGGGAGACATAAGAAATCAAGTGGCTGCTAAAGAAATTAAGTAAACTAGACAAAACCAACGAAACCCAAAGATTCTTCTGCAGATAGAATTAAACTTCTCTCGATATTTGCCATAGAAAATCCTTTCTTTGAATCACAAATTATAGAAAACAAAGTTTCTTCGTAGTGGATTGCATACTTCCAAGGTGAAAGAACCTCATTTCTTGCATTGCCTGAATTCTGCCCCATTAAGAACGATTTTTTGGAAAACAGAAATCTGAATCATTATAAGATTACGGATAAAAATACGAAAGGCAAGAATTAGCCACTGAGAATTCAGCAGCTTCTGGTATATGCCTCATTTGAAGTCTTGAACCATTATTATATACGGGAAGGGAAATGCTTAAAGAATTCAAGAGGGACATGTATTTCTTAAGAAAATTACAGCAAATAATAATGGTTAAAGGGAAGGACAAAGATCAGAGGCAGGAAGACGTATCATGATAGGAATGCTGATTCGTCAAGAGCCATTTCTGAGACTTCCGTAATCTAAGAAGACAATTCCATGGCAGACAGTGAATCAAAGATATGAACGTTTACCTGCTGAAGTTGGGGAAGAGGGAAGAGGGAAGAATGAGAAAATTTCCAGGAAGAAAGCTTAAACTGCTGCTTCAAACCTTATTTTGTGGGTCATAGACTTGGTAAAGTTGTTTTCTTGCGCGGAACGTTATCTTCTCAAGCTGTTGAAAAGAAGAACAAACATTAGCAGCTCAAAAGTCCTGCTACCCAATAATAATAGTAATAACAATTGTTCTCCAGCTAAGTGCTGGCCCTACCTCCTTGAAAAGAGGAAACCAATACAATCGTCTTCATTTTGCGGAATTGGTAGCCTTTACAGGATGACTTCAGAGTAAATAGGTTGGGAGTCGCTCTAAGAACTATCTCATGAATCACTGAAAAAGACTTGGGAATGGAATATGAATAGCCCCAGTTGACCATTTCAACAAAAAATAATCAAATTCTGTAGCTGAGAAATGAACAGTTCACAAAAATCTAGAACACCCAAACTCAGAAACATGTGTGCTTCTGAAGAAAGAAATGAAGTAAACTTCTCAAGATGAAATCGAGCTATTAAACCACATATTTATAAAGGACGAAAATTTTCTGTATAAATATTTCTAAGGTTAAAAGAACTCTGCATTTCGAGTACTATGAGATGTTGTTCGACAACTCCCATGAACGTGAAGCCGTCAAGATTCTTGAGAAAGAAGAACTTCATTCACAACACCAGACAAACCATCAATTTCCTCCTTATACAAGGAAGCAACTTCTTTCCCAGTATCATCTCCAGAAGAAGAACTCCAAATGCAAACACATCAATCTTTGTAGAAACCAGACCATTCTCCAAATACTCTGGAGCCATGTAACATTTTGTCCCGAAAATGTGCTTTGTAATGTTGAAGTCCCCATCCTGGCCTTTGGCCGATCTGGCATGTGCCAAGTTTACTATCTTGCCCCTAAAATCACCAACGAGAAGCACATCCCGGCTTTTATATCCTTGAGAACCTGTGGAGGACTCGTGAAACTGTGTAAATAGTCGAGTCCCAAAGCTATATCCACAGAAATCTGAATTCTTTGAGTCCAAGTCAATGTCTTTCCACCGTTGCTGGATGATCATCTCCTTCGTCACATCCCCATCCATTTTCTTGATAGCAGCAAGATCACCCTTTGATCAAACATTTGGGGCTGAAATTATCAGTGACAACCACCACCTCCTCAAATGTGTAAACTTGAATGGAGTGGGCAATAATAGATAACCTCTCCAAGAAGAAACCTTCAGGCTCTTCTTCCTCTCCCTTATTTTTCATAGACTTCTTCTCCAAAGCCTCGAAGCTCTCGGAAGTAGAACCGGCTGGCTCCAACTTCGCCTTCCTCCTTCGAAACCACAGACAATAAACCACAGTCCCAACAACAGTCAAAGTAGCAACGATCCCTCCAACAACACCAGCCACGACATGGACCCACGTCTTGCTGGAGCTGGATCAAGGTGTAGATGGCTCAACCGGTGGGGGAGGAGGAGGGGAAGCTGGAGGTGACGGTGGAGACACAGTTTGGATACTGGAAGGCGGGTTTTGCATTTGGATCAGAAGCGTAGTGAATGGGAAGATTGTGGCACTCTGCTCAGTAAGTCCATTGGCCTGAAGAGTCCAGCCAGTATCACTATCAAATCTCGAACTCGCCATTGAAACCATATCCCCCCCAAGTGACTGAATAACTCAAGATAAAATTGATCCCTTGGCCAGTTTGGTTCATCGTAGGCAAGCACATCTAAGAGGAACATTGAGTCTTTGACCGGGAAATATATTGACTGTTGTTCCCCTAGTTCCATTTCTAATATCTTGGCAAGTAGAGAGTCCTTGTAGAGTATCGATAGCGATAAGGAAAAAGCTTTCTCCAGGCTGAACAACGTAAGATGTGTTTGCCTGGTAGTACTGACCTGAACACGAGCAAGTAACAGGAACAAGAACTAGCTGGTTTGTATCAAAGCTTGCTGTTTGAGGGACAGAGTTGATTGCGACCAGCTGAGACGGGCTAGATCCCAGGAGGGTGGAGATTGAAGCAACAGTTGTGTATGGAGGTTGAGCTCTGAAGGTGAGGTAGCTTAGGCAGGTTCTGTTGACACCATTGCAGGAGTATCCCAGAGCTGAATTTGTTGTGACCGAACAGTCGTTTGTCTCCTGCCCAATGTAAGCTTGCTGAGCCTGAGCACTACAGAAGAACAAGAAAACACAGAAGGCAAAAGGAAGGAACCTCATTGTCGCAAATTGAGGATATTTCTTTCTGTTTTTGCAGGGTTGAGGGATTTTAAGACTTGTCTCTGGCTAGACAATAGGGACGTTGAAAGTCAAGTAGTTGAACATTCTTTGAGAGCCATGTTTCTAAGAAGCCCAAAGTCACCTTTGGAATTTTAGGATAAGGAAATATCAAAGGAGAATAGGTAAACAAGTAACAAACGATATTGTGAAGTTGACTACTTCACACATGACAATCAAAACTCATCTATATCAACAACAAACTGTCTTGATTCTGTTAGGAATTACGAGAGAACAGACGAACTGCAGATGTAAACTAATAATGTTGGCTAACCAGACTGCAAATTTTTAAACTAATATTACAAGTTGGTTGTCCTGACCCATAATACTCTACCACTTGACATCAAAGCCGCCAAGTTTGACTTTAGGCATCATAAAGTAGGGATCTTTTCCCAATGCAACATTTCAAAGAAGCCACTGTATAAAATGGAAATTCTGCAAGGAAAAAGAGCCCATAAACTATCAACAATCAGACTTGAAAATCTTGATGTTATGGTCATGCAAACTGCAAAGGACCAAATGCCATTTTCAGCTTGATGGAAGCAAAATCTTAAAGAAAAGTTATCAACTCTTTTTCAGCAGGAGCAGGGTGAGAGAAACTGAAGAGCTTGACAAGGCAAATGAAAGTAGAGAATTTGAAGAAAGAAAAGAACTTACGATTCATTGCCAAGTTCCCAAGGAGTGAAATAGATAGTATTGCGAAGAAGAAGATGAAATATATGGTAAGGCAGTATCCAAGGCAATGCTAGTTACAACCCCAGTTTGACGATCCCCCAATGGCTCTAATCTCTTTTAATGCAACCGAAACTCCGATTGCACGGCAATGAGACCCCCGGAGAAGGAATTGTGAAGAGCATTGGCAAGCCAGTCAGGTGTAACGACGAACATTAGCAAGCGAGACACTGAAGTACTCAAAGTAAGGAAGGTAACCAATTTTGTCAACAAAAAAAAAGCCTAAGTAAATGACCGGTAAAATTAATTTAGATTGACAATAAGAGAGTTTTACAGCCTGGAATTGGTTGAGGGAGTGCGATTAAGAGGTTTGATGCCACAGCTAGAATACCGATCCAGTACCAAATTGAGTTCTGGGTATAAAGAAGAACAGAAGCATATTAAGAACCTGGGAAATTACACCTAGATAAAATCAGAAGATTTAAGAGAACAAAAACCTTAGGCTGTGAACTGTAGTGCTTGGGTGCTGTGAACATCAGAAAATGACAATAAAACTAACAATATCATTGCTTTATCATAGGCTACAGCAGTAACCTTCCGGTGGGGTGGAATTATCATAGGCTACAGCAGTAACATCAATACAAGCAATGGCCATGGAGTCACAACTTTGCTGCATCAATCAAATTCCCACTTATTGGATCAACTGGCGCTTAAACCACCATATAAACGGGACTAACCAGCAGGCTACTAACAAACACTCTGTTCCTACTTATGCTGCATTAAAAGTACAAAAAATGCGAGGAAATTTCAAATTAACAACTGAAACAGCAGGCAATACCATAGTTCCACAGCCAGAGGGTAAAGATTTCCTAAATGAAATGTCCAGTGCTGGTGAACTTAAATCAAAATTCTGAATGAATATGACATTTCCTCCCAATCCCTAAGTGAAATACCAAGCAAAGTGACCAATTGAGCAGTTAGGTCTACTTAGTTCCCCACATTTCCAATCTGAATAAGGGAATTTGTAAATTACCTTTCTGGAGACTAGGGCAGCTCTCTTCTCATTTGAAAAAAAACAGTCCATCAACTTTCAATTTAGTGCCTGCATCCGCCCAAACAAACACCAAATTCAGTATCTTTCCGGACCCTCCCTCCCTATGTTTCTACACAGCATCATCCCAATTAAACCCAAAATCAATATAAATCCTCATGAAAAAGGAAATTTAAGAAGCAGAAGGGAAAAGCGGAAAAAGATGCATGCCTCTTAACGGGGATTCCAGCAGAGCTGACGAACCAGCCCGGATCTGGAGTGGGAAGGTTGGGGAACTTGAATTTGCTTCTTCTCCATAGTCAACAGTCGCTTCCTGGAGGGCGAGGAGGAGCGAGCATTATTAGGGGTCTTCTCGACGAGGTTCTGCGAGAAAACCACCGCCGACATCCTACGCTGCGTCCTGTCGTGGGATGGCTTGGATCGTGAGGTAAGTAGAAGACTGAGAGTAACTAAACCAGAGCCGGAGGGAATTTCGCCGCCCTTCAAATCCCACGCCACCATTTCGCCATTGCAGTCGTCTGTTGTCGCTCCTAAAAGAGTTTTTTTTTTTTTTTTTATCTGAGTTGGGGTTTAAGGCTGCAGCGGGCAGTTGACGAAAATACAGTTTGGGCTCAAAATATGAATTGGGCCCAGTTTACTCACATCTCATCTCTAGCCCATATTTTATGTTCTCGACTTGGCGCCATTGCTGGCTGGCTATTCCAAAAATACTCCGCTCTGCTCTGCTCTGCTCTGCTCAGCTCTGTTCCCCCGTTGTCACTCTCCTCTCCAATCCACACAAGAAGAATTTCAAGAAATCCTTAGAGAGAGAAGAATGAAGTCTCCATAGCTTCCTTTTCTTTCAGCATCCAGAAAGACGATCCAATTGCCGTTTTCTTCCTCTAGCTTTCTGGGATTTCGTTTGCGCAGTTCCTCTGTCAATTCCCCAGTCCAGAATCAACGATGGCTTTCTCGGTGATTCCCGATTGACCTTTCTGTTGCATTGATGAGTTCGTTTCTTTCTCCTCGCTCTGATTCCTAAACTTCTTCCCTCCTTTACTTTCTTGATTCCTATCGGTCGATTCAGTTCATCACCCGCTTTCAGTGATGGCGTGAATTTCTTGATCCCCATCAGTCTAAGTAGTACACGAAGGGAACGGGTCTGTGAATACTGAGGAAGACGATCAATAGCCATTTCTTCGTTTAACTTTCTGGGATTTCGTTTACATCGTTCCTCCGTCAATTCCTGATTCTATAATCACTATGCATTTCTGGGTAATTGTCCATTAGCCTTTCCTGATTGCTTTTTTTATTTTGCTACAGCGATTATGAGTTTCTTCTTTCTTCTCGCTCTAATTCTAAACCTCTCCCCTCCGTAGCTTGCTTGAGAAGTAAACGAAGCTAACGGGTTCGTGAAGACTGAGGAAGACGATCCAATATCCATTTTCTTCTTTTAGCTTTCTGGGATTTCGTTTCCATCGTTCCTCCATCAATTCCTGATTCTCGGTAATTCTCCATTAGCCTTTCCTGATTGCAATTTCATTTTGATATAGCGATTATGAGTTTCTTTCTTTCTTCTCACTCTGATTCTGAACCTCACCCCTCCGTTGCTTGCTTGATCACTATCTGTTGGTCCAGTTCATCTCCCGCCTTTTCTTTAATCCACCATTCCTTCTGCCAGCTTGATCGATCGATCAGATTCTCATTCCACAAACGAAATTTTCTTGGTACTTGTCTTTAATCCATGCACTGACTATTTTTCCTTCTGAATTTCCTTTCTTGCAATCTTTTATCATATGGCATTTTCCATTTATTCTAAGTTGGTTGGTGCAGGTTACAGATTAGTTGAAAATTCAGAATGGGGTTTTCATTGGGCTGGCTTTATCGATGGTTCAGCATACCGTTTCTGGCTCTCGTGTTATGGAATGCATGGAAGAGGAGACCTTGGCTTCCACGGCTTCCATCAGTAGATGACAAGAAAGAGGAAACTGAAAATCAAGAGCAGAACAGAGATGATGCAACTAAGGAGGAACCAGAAGATCAGAACGGAGATGATGCAGCTAAGGATCAACCAGAGGATCAGAACGGAGATGATGCAACTAAGGAGGAACCAGAGGATCAGAACGGAGATGATGCAGCTAAGGAGGAACCAAAGGATCAGAACGGAGATGATGCAGCTAAGGAGGAACCAGAGGATCAGAACGGAGATGATGCAGCTAAGGAGGAACCAAAGGATCAGAACGGAGATGATGCAGCTAAGGAGGAACCAGAGGATCAGAACAGAGATGATGCAGCTAAGGAGGAACCAGAAGATCAGAACAGAGATGATGCAGATGCAGCTAAGGAGAACAAGGAGGGCCCAGATACACAAAGTGAAGAGAAAGAAGATGTCAATGACAATGACGCTGCCGATAGAGTTGGTGTATATGATTCGAACCCGGAGGGGGGAGCCAGAGTTCCAGCTTTTCCTAGTTTGAATGGAGGGGAATGGACAGTCCTCCTTAATTTGGCACTTATCCTCAGTTCGATTTGCTGCCTTCCACCTCGACAGGGAGCACCACAGCAAGAAGATGAGGGAGAAACTACTGATGATTGGGATTTTCTCTGGTTCTATTCGAACACTCTGTCATTTCACCGCAGGGAGGCACCTGAGGAAGTGCAACCTGCCGTAACCTCAACACCTACAGTCGCTGACATTGGAGAGACTTCAACTCCACAACCAGCTGCAGATACTTCAGCTCCATTACCACCTGCAAACTAAGGGAATCGGCAACATTAATGTGAAGTTTGCTTCTTTCTATGAACAGGGCAAAGAGGGTTGGGTATTGTTCACTGTGATTTGATTTTTTTTTGTGGCAACAAACCCTTCTCGGTTAGAGCAATTGAGACCTTCTAATTTGGTGTGCTCTGGCTATACATTTGTAATAAGTGGAACTTCAGCCACGTCTATAAAGAAATTTTCACTACATTTTGCCCCAAATCAAGTATAAGAAGCATGAAATGCCATCTAAAACTTCAGGAATCTAACAATACAAGCAGCCGATCGTTTAACAAATACCTAAAACTGAAACTATGAAAGGGATCTTCCTACCTAGCTCTGAATCTCAATTCTCAATGCACAGAAACCATGGAAACTACTACGAGCTTCTTACTCCTATTATTTCCATCGTATCAAGAAAACAGATCAAACGCCCAATGGGCAATCAAAGAGCATAAAGTTTGGAACTTTGAGACTAAGAGAAGCTAAAATGTAAAAAAACTCAGCTAGGAGCACTAATTTGGAGGAATTCTTTTGAAAAAACATTAATATAAAATATATTCAAAGACAATTTGCTTACAATCCATATTAATATTTAAATAAAATTCTACATTTCAAATAAAATAATAAATAATCATGTTTAAATACAATATTAAACGTCAATTCATAAACGTTTATACTCGAATTCAACAAATGATATCAACATTTAACTTTTAAATTCATAAAATAGATAAAATATTATTGTTCTATTAATCAAATTCACTAAACATCATTTTATTTAGAGGTTTTAAATCTGTCATGTGCGCCATACCGTTGGTGTTCATGTTTGTTTCATGACCGGCACCGGTTGAAACATGTTCAACCAACCGGCATGTCACTGGGATGGCAACCATGATCTATTAGTATTGAAGTGGAAAAGATCAAAAACAAAAAAAGCAAGAAATGGAGTCGTGGTGGACGGGTTCAAGAGTAGGGCTGGAATTAGGTACCGGTATTTGAGATATACAATGCACAATCTATTGTGCTATTTTGACCTAACTTAGAGAGAAGCCCCCTATGTTAATATGCTCAAATTGAGCTAGGTGCTCTTGGCCATTTCATGCCTCCTAAACTAGTTTAGAGAGAAGCCACCTTATCTTAAGAGGCTCAATTTGAGCTCGGTTTTCTTAGGCATTCCATGCCTCCTAAACTAGTTTAGAGAGAAGCCCCCTTAACTTAAGAGACTCAATTTGAGCTCGGTTTTCTTAGGCATTCCATGCCTCATAACTAGGTTAATTAAGGGAAAACCTCTAATTTTGAATTACACACCTGGGTTAATTGTGATTATATCATCCAAACCTTGATTTGAGGGAGAAGGTAAGTCAACCCTCAATTGCTTGGGCCAAGAGGGCTACAATTGTAGCTTTTGACACCTACCTTGGCCTAGAAATTGGGAGAATGGTTCTAACCATTGTTGCACCTCCTACGGGTCACAATTGCCTCGTCACACTCTGTTTCATTCGATCCCGCAATTCATGGTAGTTGGTTAGGGGAAAGCAACACCCGAGTGAAGCTTCTCACCAAGAGTTTTCCTCCCTTTTTACTTTTCAAGTCTTGTTTTTCAATAGTAGGTCGTAGAGATTTTAACAAACAACAATCCGCTAGATAATGTTTCAAACAATCCCGCAATTCATGGACCGGCCCGGGTTGATATTTAAACATACTTGTCCTATATTGCACCCATTTACGGTTTATACTTGGGCCATAGGTGGGATTTTATTGTGATATTCGGGTTGTGCTAGACGTGGTGTTGTTCTTTAAGTGTGTGCAAGGAGGTGCATGACCTGGAGCAATCCGGCGCCTTTAGCACAACTAGACGAGAACATCAACCGGACTCTCCGACTCCTAGCTCGGGAGAGGGAGTTAGCAGAAGCAAGAAGGAGAAGTGAAGAGAGGGGACAACAAGTTGGTCCCGGAGTTAGAGGAGTTGAAGTGGAAATTGAATTTGAGATGGGGGAGAATCAAAAACAAGCAAGAGCTGCTCCGATGGCTCAACAACCGTCCGGCTCACTCAATTACATTGTGGGATGATTTACTCAACAAGTTAATGACCCGGTATTTTCCTCCTTCCAAGACGGCTGAGTGGAGGAAGAAGATTACTCACTTTGAGCAAAAGGAAGATGAGACATTGAGGGATGCATAAGAAAGATTCCCCGACTACTTACTCCAATGCCCTCGTCATGGATTCGAGGAGCAATTTCGGATAGAGACTTTCTATGGTGGTCTCATGCATGATGACAAGATCCTTATCCACTCTCTTTGCCAAGGGAGGTTGATGAATATGACCCCACCTCAAGTGACCGAGTTGCTCGAAGACATGGATCTTAAAGGATATGATTGGGGCTTGACGAGGAGTGGTTAGAGAAGCACCGAAAGAGGAGTGTGAAGTGTGGGAGCAAGTGCTCCACTTGAAGTGAAGCTTGACAAGTTGATCGAGGTGATCCTTGAGGACAAGAAGCAAGGAAAGACAACAGTGATGTCTTGTGATTGGTGTTCAAGCACTAATCATGAAATTGCGGATTGCCAAGTGATGAAGGAAACAAGTACCCCCGAGGAGCAAGTGAGTTTCATTGCCAATGCTAGAGGGAACAACCATTATAGCAACACCTACAACCCCGGGTGGCGCAATCATCCCAAATTCGCTTGGTCTTCCCCTACCAATCCAAGACCTCCTGGTTTCCAATGTCCAATGGGCAACTATAAACCTCGGCCAACTTTCATCCAA